TGTGAAATCTGTGAAGATAGAAGAGATCCAAAGCTCTGGTTTTATCGGTGTGATGAGTGCGATTTTGATGCTCATCCCGATTGCGTTCTTGGAGAATACCCATTCATCAAGCGCGGTAGCATTTTTTCTACTCGTAGAACTGATTCTCATCAACGACACCGTCTCATATATTTCCAGAGTGAGAAATATCCCTATCCGAAATGCGATAAATGTGGCCATCCTTGCAAAGATCAACTGGCTCTTAAATGTCCCCACTCTGAATGCAACTTTGCTCTACATTTTAAGTGTTCAGGTTACTTCGTCGAAGTGATCCAGCCTCGCTTAACTGACCCAAAACGGCAAGCATTGAAGACGTTTTGATGATACATGCTTCCGCTGTTGTGCGTTCCTCTGCTATAAAAAAACTGCAAGAACCATCCCTATGATTGCTCGATCAGTTGCTGGGTTTGCTTTCTGAAAATAACAGGTAAGGAATTGCTAGCTATTTCCGCTCAAAATTTGCTGGGTTGCTTCTCAATTGTTTTCATCTTCTTTTTTTGATTTACATAATGCAGATTCGGCCACGGGCAATGAAGATTTTGCCCTTGATTCCATGCTCTGTGTCTCAAATTTAAGGCTCATACCAGACCAAAACGATGGAGAAGAGGAAACTCACACAAAGGGATGCCTTTACTATTCTTCTGCTATAAAATCCAAATTGAAGAATCCCACTGACGTTGGCAATCTCATGCGTTTTGGAGGAGCGGGTTCTGAAGCGAGCATCCATCTCCATTTGGATCATTGATGTCCAAGCCAAGGGTGTCCTCATTCGCAGGAATGAAGGTGGCGCCTTTCTCATGCACACCAACTGTTCCACATGTGGCCCATGTGAGTTGCAATGGTTTTATTAGTAGGAATATATACTGGGAATTAGTATATTTTGTTTAAGATTATGTTGCAATCTCATGAGAAGGATTTTTTTACATAATTTATAGTTCTCAGCTAACAAGAATTTAGTTTAGTTTGTAAATTTGATTCCCTTCTAAATGAATTCTTCCTATGTATGCAGTGAGCTAGGTATGAAGAGTTAGGGCTGTGTGCTACTCCCATTATAAATTTTATTTACCAGCTTTTATATGAAAATCCGTGGTCAAATTTACCAGCAAAAAATTGAGGGAAACCAAAGAATACATGAACACCATGGAAAAAGCACTGGGTGGCAGGTAATTAGATTTGGGATTTAATTCCAGATGTGATTTAATTCCAGATTTGGGTCAAATTTTACCAAGCAAAAAATCTGTTTTGACTTTAATTTAAAACTTGTGAGATTGCACATTTGTTCAAGTAGCATAACCACCTCTTTTCATGACCTTGGTAGCAAATCTAAGATGAGTTAAATGTTGCTATTAAGTTTTGGTTTTATTTTCAGTATATAGAGACTAAAACCTAATTTAATTTTTAATCTTTTGATCTTTTCTTAGTGATATGAGCTTAAATTGCCATAGTTAAAGTGTTGAGAATTTGGATTATTAAATTCTGAAGAGAATAGATGATTATAAAGCAATTTTACCAATCATCCCTATTGTCTCAGGTCAAGTTTTTAATTATAAATTTGTAACCATTTGATAACCTTAGTCACATTTATAATATTTCATAGTTTTTAACTTTTATGTCTTATATGGATGGAACTAATAGGTTGATGTTAGGAATTAGAAAGGTGCTTCTTAGGAGGTTAAAAGTATATATGGTTATAGAAGTCATATAACTAAGAAGTTTATGATGAGAAAGTTTCTAGATGCTGGCAATTCAAAACTAGTATGAAATTGATTTCCTTTTGATTCATCTAATTTGGTCTTTTCAATTTTTGGAGCCACAATTACTTAATTTGAACCTCAGCTAACTGCAAGAGGAAATTGAGATAAGTAGAAACATAAATACTGCTTCTGTGTTTGGCACTTCTTAGCATGACTTCTCGTTGTTGTTCATGAAATGTTAATGAATAATTTTTTATCATTGTATTCAAATTTTACAGCAAGTTGGCTCTGGGGATTTTTTTTTTTTTTTTTGCATTCATTATATATTAATGTGTTTTTGCTCCTTTTTTTTCTTTCAATTTCAGTAGGCTCCCTAAACAGGTTTAAAGTTCTGCTAGAATTTCTGCAAACGTTGTTTAGCCAAATGATATGTTGGCACAGGGAGAGGCCAAGGTTTCACATTGTGAAGATTGACAAAACTACCAATCAAAAGGTTCTTTTTTAATATGCTTCATATTTCTCTGAAGAAATAGCCAGGGGAATTCTTTGGGAGAAAGAAGATCACATAAATTCACTTTCTGAGCTGATCATGTTGGCATTTCTTCTCAAATTTGATGAAGAAGCTGTTGGGTTTTGAAGTTAAATAATTTGCAAGTTTTTGTGGAGGATAAGTTTCTGTCAGCAGCCTAGGCATGGTGAGCACAGTTGATATTCCTTGTGAGTGAGTAGGCATGGTGAGCACAACTAATATTTGCTGTGAGTGAGTAGGCATAGTGAGCACAGCTAATATTTCAACTTCTTATTTGGCCATTTTAATCTTCCTGCACCCCTTTTTAATATTTAGAATTAAATTTTTCCTTCAGGCATATGAAGTATGGCTGGGTGAAGGATATGGTAGTTTGTAATATTAGGCTTATTTGGAAAAATTAGACTATTACAAAGGAGATTTCATCTTCACAAGGATGATTACTATAGGAAGCATTCCGGTTGCTCAGAGCAATAGGGCACAATTGCTTCCACTACTGCCTGCTAGGGTGGTATATTACCATAACTATGTTCTATGGTCAAATTTGCTAGATTTTAATTCATACATGAAGAGAAATTGTCCTTGTCTCTGATACTGTAACACTACTCATGTTAATTTTCTTTCTTTGCAGCCTATTTAAGGATCATTCAGGTACAATTCCTATGCTTTACTAAAGTTTGCTCTGATTTTTTCTTATAAGAAAACAGCTTGAATTCAACTTAATATAGTCTGGTAGTATAGCTCTACTTGTCAATTTCTACTTTTGAAAAGAAGATCTACTTTGACAAGTGAGCTTTATAAATGTATAGACACAATTTTGTACAACTTGGAACTCAACTTTTTCTTGTTTCATAATGCCCCATGTCCAGAAATTTTGATTTACTATAATGGAGACATCTGTTTTAAAAATCAGTTACATGTTAGGTAGTCTCTAGCATTGTCCATGACATCTAACATTAAAAAACTCATCTAGGAAAGTTCACTTCTTTTAACATTCAAGATAGATTGTGAGATGCAAGCTTCAGAAGAAGCTGAGGTTGAAAGAATGTCAATGATCGGATGGGCAACACCAGATGCTCAATGCGTGGAGGAGAAAAATAAAATACAGTGGAAATTGGCTTCAAGCAATTGAACAACTTCATCTTCTGTAGGTATGATTTTAAAATCTTGATTAAAAAGACTAGTTTACTACTTTTTTAGAATATTCTTAAGCAGGAAAATTAAGCATACAACAAAAGTTAGATATTTAAATTTCATAGTTTGTTTAGTCGTCAATTAATTAATATATGGAGGAATCAGCCTTAACTAGCGAGCCGAATGGTTCACCACCCAAGCCTAAACTAGTAGGTTGGGAGTTCAACTCCTGCTTGTGGTTTGGAAACCTAAAATTTCTTATGTTTCTAAAAAAAGTAATAATAACGTGCAGGGATAATGTAGTTGCTCACTTCTTGATTCAATTGCTGCTGATGAAGTTCAAGGAAAAGAAAAGAGCCAGAAGAAACAATCCTATCAGATGGATGCATGCACATGGAGAAGACACATGCATCTTTACATTCCCAAGGATGCTTTGGTATGTCAAGTTCTTCAACCAATCAACCTATTAGTAATTTTTGACATTGGAAAACCAATGTTTGGTTTAAATGATAGATTTTAATTAACTAATCTAATAGGAATTAATTGGAATATGGATTCATTAATCTTGTATATATTTTGAGAGGTAAAGGCAATAGAATTAGAAACAATCTCATTATTAGCTTTGGCTATATCAAAAGATTATCATGTTCATGATGAAGCAACTATCATTACAAAATAAGCATATGCAAAAACCTAGTCATTGTAGCATTCATCCTGACAAGAAAACTCATATGATCTACGCTTAATGAACTTTGCATTCTTCATCAGCAGGGTTTGTCTTGCAGAAATCCTCAAAGGGATCACCACTTCGTGCAGCAGGCATGCCAGGCCACTTGCTTGCTACAAGATGTGCCAAATCAACTACCCTTTGGCTACAAATAACCATCATATTACTGCTAGTAACTGGTAAGGCACAAATAAGATTATTGTTAAAAACAAGAAGGTTTTAAGAAATGTATCTTGACTGGTAACCTCATTCATTGTCATACCAGGCCACCACCTTAACCATGTCGTCTCCCATTACCATGGTTAGCAAAGTGTCAATGTTAGAAGAAACATCACTGCACCTGAAGTCCATTGACACAAAAGGAACATCACAGACGGTCAATATGCCTTCAATGGCTCCTCAGCTACCTTTCTAAAGGCAACATTGACATCCTCAGCTGTAATCCCCTTCTCAACATTCACAACAAGGCTAACAATTGAAAAACTTGGTGTTAGTACACGGAGTGCAATGCTATTGAGCTTGCCGTAGAGCCGGGGTAGAACAAGACAGACGACCTTGGCTGCACCAATACTTGTTGGGACCATGTTCGATGCTATTGGAATTCATTTGGAATTCAAAATTCTTTGAATTAGCTCAAGCTCTATATCCAAGTAGTATTTTGGTCAGTGCAAGTACTTGGTCTCCAATTTATGAATAGGTCATTGTCATTGTTCCCTTTACAATTCTTGCATATTAGTTTCAATGAAGTCAAAGAAAACTCATAACAAGGTTATGTGAAATTTGCCAAGTGATGATTAGTTATTAAATAACAAATCAACAGAAACAGAAAGAAATTGTGAAAAGGTTTCTAAATATTTATTGGTCCTTAACCTTCAGTTTTCTTGAAAATTTATCCCAACCTTTAAAATTTGGTAATTAACCTTTTTAAATTGCAGAATAGTTTATCTCATCATTCTTGAAAATCATTATTTTGAAACTTGGCCTGCCCTAGTTTGTTCAACCAATTGAATTGAAAGTGATTCTAAAAAAGAGTTAGGTTATGATATTAACTTAGTAGATATCAAAACTAGTCAAACTGTAAAATCTAGTTGATCCAAACCAATTCAACATTTTTTTTTTACACTTTTACATTTTTTTTTCATTTTTCCTTAATTTTTACATTTATTTATTTAATAGATAATATAATAATTAAATTATAAAATCTATTTAAAGTCAAATCACTCAATTAATGAATGAAAAATTTTAAATTAATTTAAATGTAAATTGAATTAT